ACGACCCTCCTGTCCGGTTTTAAAACGATCCAGACAACTGCCTGTCACACTTCTCTAAAAGTAGCCAATCAGAAGCGAATATTTTCGCGCCTCATGCGCCCCGTACTGTGTCACGGAGGTGTCACGCTAGATATTCAGTACCATGTGCCGAAGTCCGAGTTTCACAACTTTTACGGTCGTTCAACGCTCTCATTTAGTCTACGAAGTTTCTCTGGGCATTCATTTCTCTGGGAAGGTAGGTTCTGAATTTTTAATTTTTAAGTAAGCGGCTCTTTTTTAAGGTAAATTTTCAGGAAGCAATCCACTCTGTTTTTAGTAGCGCGGGTGTCAGAATTTTTGTCAGTGTAATGAGTAGTACAGTTATTGCATTATTCTCTGTCGCAATTAAACTTCAGTCCAGATTTCTGCGTTTTTCATTGAAAATTACATAACTGTTGAATGATTTTAGAAGTCAGCATATTCAGGGAAATTAAAGCAACGCATCAGGTTGAATGGTTCGGCATTGAAAACTTTGTAATTTTGTGGTGTACCCTAAATTACCACACAGCATAGAAATTTCCTCGTGATCGTTAACTTGAATGAAATTTGTTTAGAAAAAGAAATATCCTCTCCTTTACAATTCTATATCTCATTATGCGTGTCTATATCTTTATTATTATAAAGTAAACAATGGCCTAAACAATAGGTTACCTTTATAATTTTCATGTACTAGCAAAGGTTATAGACTAAAAACTTTCCCTTAAAATTTCTGGGAACTTTCAAAAAGTTTTGAATTGGCTTTATTTCAATAAGTTGATATTCAGCTGAAAATAAACAAAAGGGAATGAACCCCAGAAACTCTGTAGTATATTCCAGAGAGCATACTGTGCTGAGGTCAATTAACGATTAAATTTTCAGTAAACGAAACAGGCCATCGAGTCAAAAATTTATCCTTTTACTAGAAACAGCATCCAGAGAGTTGCCAAATCCTAGAAAGTACATAGTACACTTGCTGTAATTTAATCCTCTACTCCTAAGATCTAAATTTTAATTCTCCTCACATTCTGCCATACACTGCCTATAATTTCCTTTCAAAGAATATGGTATTGAGTCACATTTTTTATAACCAGTTGATTTTTATTTTTTCTCATCACCTTTCAACTTAAATGTATATTGATACTGTAGGGAGAAATTCCTTTTTGGTCACCCCTTGGGGGAAAATGTTAATTTATATGTCAGTATACATGTATAATTGGAAGGAAGGTTTTCTTGCCATGCTCCAATCTCTACTGAGTTCTCATGTTTAACTAATTTTTACCAGTTCACTGTTAACTTTCAATTTTTCTAATCACTTTAGTTCGATTTAACTCTCAAATTGCTTGTGATGTGTGTTCTCTTTCCAACCCAGCAATCAACTTTTGATTATTTGCATCCTTATGTCTCTTTGATGTGACAAGTCAGCAGTTGAGTTTAGAGTATTCAGCTACACTGGCTGGATGGAGCAGAAGAAAATAAAATAGAGTGATGAAAATATCAAGTGAAGAAAAGTTTGACAAATGGGCTTTGTTTTGAAATTAATTGTGGCATTCTTCCCATTGCAACATGGTACATTTCGCTGACTTGAAAAACATTGTTCAATTTAAAGTTGTTTTTGTCAAATCTTGACAATATTAGTGCTGTCAGAGCACCCCTTGATTTCACAATGGGAAGTAAATATTCTATTTGGCTTGTTTCAATCTATTTGAATCCATTTTGACCAGGGCCCCTTGTCCTCCTGTTTTGTTTGCTAGGCTATCTCTAGGTATCTGAGAGTGCCCCTTGACAGTGACAGTCCACTCTACTTTTCTCCTTCCAAATGTTTAGTCATAAAAATTGGTGTCCAAAATTTGGTCTAGCATTACTTACATGTAGATATCTCTGTTCTAGACATTTTCTCTTACCATCTCCTTGAGAGGGATTAGGAGAATGCCAATGCTAAATCATTATGCAGTTTATGAAACCTTTTCTCAAAATTACATCTGGGGAACATCAGTTGGGAATAGGAGGTTTTAAACTACTAAAAGGCATGAATATAGTTCTTGCAAAAATTTAGTTAACCTCTCTGATATTATGAAGGAGCAGTATTCCTCAGCACACAAAAATACTATCATTTATGGTAAATATCTTGCATTTTACAATCTAGAAATGCCCTATTTTGCTAGATGTGATCACTTTTTGTAATTCCTTGAAAGGTATGGTTCATATGTAGCCATTTTACTCTTGTAAGTACTAACTCCATTTTGGTATATAAAGAAGGAGCAGTATTCCTCAGCTCTTTAAAATACATGTGTTTATAGGAAATTTCTTCTTGGTTTGAAACCTCCCTGTTTTGCTAGATGCGATCACTTTTTGTGAGCCCTTGAAAATTATGGTCCATCTGGAGCCATGTACTTTAGTCACTTAGTTGAGCAGAGAAGTGCAGAGTCCAGGTTTGATAATGAGCACAGCACACCTTTCATTTTCCCAGGCCCTAAATTATGATCTAAAAGAAAAAAAAGGTGGTGTTTTAACAGACTTATGAGACAGTCACAATACAGACAGGTATTACTAATGAATTTACATTAGCACAGAGGATAAAGAAGTGTCTATAAGGTGTAACGTAAATTTGCTACTGATTAAGTTTTTCCTTTTAAATAGGGATTTCATTCTTTTTTTCTTTGAACTAGGTGGATTGGGACTATCAAATACAAATATAAAATAGGCTGTTGTGAAAAGAGAACATGACAAAGTTTAAACAATGGAGAAGGGTAAGTTTTAACACTCATATTTGTTTTTGTGCATGATTATATGCAATGATTGGTTGCAATATGTGTATAAGGAAAATGAAAGTTTTCATAGGATATTGATCCCCAACAAATATACCAGCATCCAATAATTATCTTTTGATTTATAAATGAATTTTTCAACATCCTATGAACAGTTAATCATGTTATGTGATTAGCTGGTTCACAGTAGTCCTTAAGAGGAAAGTCATCACTTACAGTGGCTGACTGATGACTTTCACTGAAGTTGCCAAATTAACAGTCTTCTATGGGATGGAAATAAGACAGCACAATTTTTTTGATCTATGACACTAAAGGAGGTTCAACACATAACCGTCCTTTTAATTGTGATATGAAATAGGTCAAAACATAGATGCATGTAGTTCAATTTGTACGTCTTATATGAGCTAGGAGATCTCTAGTGATTACCGGTATGTTTTTGTTTACAAGAAGTGAGTGCCACATCCATCAGTTGGTTACAAGCTAAGGGTGGGAATATTTTCCTCTTCATGACTTTTGTGCTCCCCCCCCCCTTCCCTCCTCCTCAGCCCCATGACAGTTGCAATGAAGTAATATCATGCTTTAAAAGTGGAATTAGGAGGGCTTAAACCTGTTATGTGAATTTAGATATTTTTAAGAATTTTCTACCAAATTTTGTCCAAGATACACAAGAGACACTTGCAAATTTAGAGAGAAATGCTGGGTCCAGTGGGTGTTTCCATGTTTGCTCCTCCTTTCTGAGCCGCTTTTCCGCATGCAGTACTCCAAGTTTGGAACTTTCATTAGGCGATTGTGAATAGAGGTAGCCAAAGTATGACCCTGATCATGTACATGCCAATAGTTACTGCACATGCTGTGTATTAGAAAAAAACCCTAAGGATGTAATTTTTATTGGTTTGTTTGGATTTCATTAACTGAAGGCAGTACAAAATCATCGGCACCCCTCCATTAACATCAAAACATCTCCCCTGAAAATAAAGTAATATACTCTTCTGCATCTCCTTATCTTCCCCAACTTGCTATGCTTTATGTTTTTCATCAAGAATTCAGGGGAAAATTCAGTTTTCTTTTCTCCTCTCTCGGAAGTAAGTAAGGTTTTGGCTTCGTTAATACGTTTTTCATTTCATGCTGAAACTTTATTGCATGAGAGATGCTGTATTTAGTACTCATACAGTGATAAATATCAATCCATGGTCTGTCTTATTATACTTAGGAGTTACTTCTGCTGCTTTCAGTGATAAGAAAAGTAAATACTAGGAAAATCATATATTAAATACATTGTTACGCGTGCGAACGGTGCTATTTACATAGACCATAAGATACCATAATTATTGTATAACCTGTAACTTATACCCAATTGATACCCAATTCAAACCAAAGAGCAAAAACTCCAGAGCTGTTTTGTTATACGCAATTTAAAAGTTGCTAATAAGCAGATCTTTGTCGACCTCGCATCCAGCACAATGAAAATGCAAGTTAGCGATGATATAAACACTATGTAAAATTCAGTTTTTAGATTTTCTGTTGGTGATTTTTATTGAGTTAAACCTGGTTTAACAAAAACTGTTTTGTTGGTTTTTATGGCGTAGCATCTTTGATAGAAAACATGTTTTTGTGGCTTCGGATGTCAGGAATGATGTGATAATTGAAAATGCGTTTGTTCAGGCATATTCGATTTTCGACGCCCGAGGCGTGTAAAAATGCTTGAGTCGTGAGGTAATAACGAAAATCTATACCTTGTAGTAGACATGCCACTTGTGCGAGATTTGTCACATTGTACATTAGTGAGTGGGAGTGACCAGTCTCATTAAATCAACATTTATTTTGTAGAACCCTCACTAGAGCTCGCAGCGTCCAATTCTATAATTTTCCAAAAATTTTGTCAGATGTTTTTGATGTGTCACAGGAAGTGACACTGGGAAAGGAAGTTTCGCGGCACTGTTTATTTGTTTTCTTGTAGTGAATAAAACTTTAGTAAAATTAGGATTAGAAATTTTGAGAAATTCTTCTGTGGTGATTCAATTTTCAAAGACAAATAATGACACTATCAAAACAAAACTAAACGCAACAAACTATTTATCGGCATTAGTGAATGTGAGGGTTATTTGCGATGATACGAATGTATATATATTTCTTTCTGAAGTTCGCTTGCGAGCATGGTAAATTAACAGTCATACAGTATTTAGAATGCTTTGTTTATTTTGCGAAACCCTACAGCTCTTAAAGATGCGATCATGATACATTAAGATTTATGCAGAATATAACTTAGATATGAGTATTGATTTCATTTGTTTCGGTTTGAAATAGTTTATTAAAATTTTTGTCAGTGATACATCTCAGCAAGGAGAGTTCTTTATGTACTTTCATAACCAAAATAATTCAGTCTTGTGACTCAGGAGGGCATAGCATTCGGCAGTTATGGGTGGAAAACCTTCCGTGTGCATCCAGGTAATTTGAAGCATAACAATCAGTTTAATTTTCGTTCTTCAAATAACTTGAGGGTTCTAAAAATTATGACTTCACATCCAGACAAAAGTTTTTTTTAACTTTCATGCCACAGGAATAAAACTGCCTGTCTTCAGGAGATCCTCATGTTTGAGAGATACGATGACATACCTTTTCTTCTACATAGAAAATTAGCGCTGTGCCTTCAACCTAAATTAGAAAACAAAGGTGCGATTTAAATATCGAGCATCGATTGCATTTCCTTGAAGTTCTTTCTTTTGATGTTTTTATGCAGTTTACCCGTAATGTTTTGGTAAAAAATACTTGTTCTGTTAAAAAACATCACGTGACCGTGGCAGCTGTTTGAGTCACATGATTGGCAGGTGGAAGAAGTAGATGTTTACTTAGTTCTGTTTTACTGCAACATTTTCCCCCACGTAATATCTGCATGTTTCTTAATTTTTTGCGTCTAAATTTGATTATTTCTTCGTTTTACCGTTGTTAGATTTCATATGTCTTCTATTCATTTTGTAAAGTATAACTTTAATTAATTAGACTGAAGAGTTTCGACCGTTGTCTCAATGTTGGAATCCATTTTGCTAAACTCAGAGCGTGGGCGTTGATGGCAATGTTTTCCATTTAAATCATCCAAGTGAATGCAAATGTGCCTTATTTATTGGTCCGAAAGCTTGTGTCATCATATCATCATTCCAGCGAGGTGTGTTTCATTCCCTAGTTACTCGATAATAAAAGCGGCGTGAAAGATCCTCGCTTTCGCCAACTATGAATTCTTCACCGAAATATATTTCAGATGAAATTTTCGAGTTCAAAAAACAGGAAAATCCTCGCTACCACAACGATGTCAACACCAACAGCAACCTGAAGCAAAGTTTAACCGTCGGTACCTCTCCATACCGTACATCCTGTTTTTCGCAAAGTCGTGATTCTCTCGAATCGAACGGAAGTGTTTACGAAGCTGTGTCGATCGGAGAGACCGGTTTTGGCGGGAGTTTCGGTCACGATGAAACGGATGGCAGTATTTTTGGCGGGAAGTCTCATTCCTTTGCGGCTGACGATGCCCAGGTGGTTCCTGATTTCAATGACATTTTAGAAACAATTCATGTTGACTTGGATGAAAGTAATACTCGATCCCACGTACAGTTTATCACCGAATTCGAATCTCCCACTGATACTTGTGGTCTTCAACGTAGAAACTTTGACAGATCGCTTCTTAAAAGGAGGAACTCTGAGCGTGACGAATTGGAGATTTATTTTCCCTGTGTTCTAACACCGATCCCCGTTGATCGTCTGTACAGCACTCTTGTTGACGATTCGACGGTATTCAAGTTTCCAACAAGTTCGGATGAATTCTTACCCGAGCATAGAGACAGTGGTGGCTTGGTAACTCAGGCACAAAGTTTCAGTCATTCTGTTCCCATGTCAGAAAGCAAGAATATTTTAGAATCGTTTGGGAATTTTAACGTGTTCTTAAAACCACACGGGAGTCATGAACAGTTTGACCCATCTGCTAATATGTTTGAGCTACCTACGGCGACTTTCAGGATGAAAAATCTTCCTGATTCGTGTAATTTGATCCAGGAGAAAGATTACAATTTGGGGAGCGGAGATTTCTGTCACGAAGGTAATGGATCACCACATGTGGTTGATAAGAATACGCCGGTATCACTGTCCGTCACTGGTGCAGAAAATAACCACAATCTTCAGAAGTCCCTAAAAAACACTTTTTTCTTGGAGGCGATGAATACAGTAGATCGAAATTACATTTCGAGGGCTTCGATGTCTCTTTCAGGGTGTCCAACCTTTTGTGAAACCTTACCATTTCAGTTAAACTGTTCCAAGCTCATCGAAAGCGTCACCAAATTCCCGCCGACTTTGGGAGAGAATACAGATCATTCTTTTAGTCGCATTTTGTCAGAAGAATGTTTTACAAACAGTTTTTTTGATCACAACCCTGCAAAAGAACTTCCCTCGAAGAAGCAGTTACAAGTTAAAGGCAGCGACGAAGCTCTTCAACTTGCTCGTGCAGAGACTTTGAATGTTAGCGATGGAGTATTTTCCAAACTGGACTCAAGTCTATGCAGCGTGCAGGATGACTTATGGAAAAGCACGCATAGACGAGAGCGGGAGCTGCAGCGTAATCCAAAGAAAACTAACATTGAAATAAAGACAACTGCCTCTCCGAATGCTAACCGTTCGGCGTTTTTTATGGAAAATAGTGAAAGACCGAAGGAAAGCCTCAGATCGAAGCGTTTCAAAAAGAAAGGTAACCTTCAGGGAGAAACACGGGACCTTCACAACGATATGGAAAAACAGCGAAGAACTAATATGAAAACACGCTTTCAAAATCTTCGCCTGACCTTGCCTGAATTGAAAGACAAAGAGAAAGCTTCGAAAATTGTCATATTGCAGAAGGCATTCCAGTACATTGTTCTGTTAGAACAGGAATCGATAGAGCTAGAAAACAGAAAAAGAGCCGAAAGGCAAAGAAATATAGATCTTTTGGAAAAACTACAAAAAATAACTTCAGGAGATTAGTTGACGAAAAATGTGTGAGGATAATTTGATTTAACGTTTGACTTAATATCCATTGTACTTTATTGTAAACTTGAAAACATTGAGCAGTTTGATTGTTACTAGAATGTTGTCATCTCCCTCACCATTTTGCTGAAAAATGATGATTTTAAAATAATACGTCAGTCTACTTGATCGCTTTATTCGTGACTACTTTTTACATTATATCCGTTCGCAAAGATGTCGCTTCTCTTACGTCATTTTTTCTTCTTTTTTTTTTTTCCTTTTAATTGTACATTAATTCAACCAATTCTCATCGGTTATGAGTTTCCACTCAAAGCAGAAATATAGCGTCAAGCACATCAGTGATGAGAATATAAAGAGGTGCTCCTAAGGGGAAATTATGTGATTTAACTACCAATTCTCCTAACTGTCATTCCAAGGATACGTATCATGATAGCTTGGGAGAAGTTCTGTCCTATGGCGATGTCCATGGTGTTTAAGTCTCATGTAAGTCAACATTTAGTTTTTCCTCCCTAAAACCTAAAGTTTTTGCTTGTCGTTGGAAGTTGTATTACCAAGGCCTACTCTACTGAAATTGTGAACTAACAAAAAGGAAGTAAAAGTTGTTGAGGCAAAATAAAAAAGAAGTGATTAATTTTCACCTGTCGTGTTGATCCCTGGTGAGTACCAAGGCTATGTTGTTTTTATTTCCCTTGATTTGTCAAAATATTACTATTGTACATAGTATCATTTATCTACAGTGTCCGACTATTATCGTTTTTTTGGAAAATAAAGCCAGTGTTCGATTTGTAACCTTGAAAAGGCATTGCATTCTGATCTCTTAACGCTCGTTTCGTGCGAAGATTGTCCCGTTTAAAACATGTTATTTAATCCATATGGTGTCTACCAGGATCTAAAGGTTATCGAGGTATTGCAGTTGTGTTCGTGCACCTCAAGATAAAAGTTCTGACATCAACAAAACCTTCCTTTAATACAAAGTTCTCTCAGTCCCTTTGATTGTCTCTCTTGTGGTCGTAGATGTGCATTCATTCCTCATAGACATATAATAACTGAAAATCATTTTAGACGGATATTTGAGCCTTTCACCCCCAAGGTAACAGATATAAATTTTCCGAACTTTTGGCCATACATTTTCTAGAACTTACGTAACGAGAATTAGTTTTTTAATCAAGCAATATCTCTTTGCTGATATGTTTCTTATTTTGTATTACCTTTCTGTTTGAGAATGAACTGATGTGGAAGTTAGAAATCCCGTCGGATTATCTGCTCCTCCGTTCTCGCTATAAACACCCCTTTGCGTGTCGCATTGTTAACTTCTTTGTCGATGTTTTTTACGCGATGGAATAATCTCGCACTCGTCAGAAATATTTTTATTTTAATTTAAAATTACGGAGTGAAATAAAGCGATAAAATTTTAAACATCCTCACTGGTCAGCCCCAGATTTCCAAAACATGGTCACAACCAGCATTTTCTTTATTATGACGTAAGGAACTAGTAAAGAGGTGAAGAAGTGATTATCATGTCGCAACTTTGTACAAGATCTTTTCGCATAACATACGAGAAGTCTCAAAAACTAAAGGAAATGTATAATTATTTCCAAATTTTATATATATTTTTTTATTTGAGTCTTGCCTGACCTAGCTTTTTCTCAGTGAACGAAGCAAAACTAGGAAAAATATTTTCAGTCGTGTGTTTGTACCAAAAGAGAGAAGCCTAATCAACCTTCGAATGAAATATTTACATCGTTAAGTTAGCGCCTATCTCGCGCTTGGATGTCAAAGGCAAACTTCACGCACAGGTCAATTAATTGACGCCAGGTTACCAGGAAACCACGCTGTTTGCCGCCCTTTTGGAGAAGCAAGTTGCCGTTAGAGCTCAATTAACCATGAGAAGCACGCTTCAGGCAGGTCTCTGAGCGATTATAGGGATTAGAGATGTCCAGTGCGACAAAGTAACACCAGATTACAAGCAATCTTAGCCTAGGTGCCGGGCATAATCAAGTGGAACATTATTGTTTTTCAATCTTTTTTTTCTCCTGGCTTGTACACCCACGTTGATGGTTCTCAATGAGGCGATCGATGCCTTCAACGCCCGCACGAATTTTTTATAACTAAACAGATTTGTAACAACTGAAGATGATGTTTTTACTAAAGGTCATGTACGTATTCAGGGAATTCTTTTACAGAGAGACCACATAAATTCTTCTCAAATCTTAATATTGACCAGAGGTAATTGGAACATAGAACAGCTCTGGAGCTACCTTTGTGATATTTACCTAAAATAACCATTTGTAATTTTAACTGGAGAAGTCTCTTGGCACAGTTTTTAGTTCTACGTCCGGGGCAAATCTATGTTTATTGTCACTTTAATTGTTTATTAACTGGTTTATGTCATCTGAATATAATTTTCATATCCCAGAGTCCACAGTCCGGTTTCGAGAAGCAATACCCTCTCTTGTCAGCCTTACTTGCGGCGTCACAAGTTCGAGTGCTTTATTTTCTACCTAATTTGATAACAGAATCTGTTAAGATGTACTTGTACCCAATAGCCACAGGGTTCTTTATCATCGTCATGAAAATCGAAGTTTCCATGTTGAGATGAATTGTCTAGAGTATCCCGTCTGCCCTAGTGAAACGCCAGCGAGGACGCGTGAGAGAGCTGAATATTCCGTAACTCCTTTTGGTTTTTATGAGCTATTTTATGTCCTCTCCTTTTTTTTTCCTTTTTCCTCAACATCTTGAGGTTTAATATCCACTTTCTTTCCTTTCCAATAGTACCCTTTCCTTAATGTTTTCTTCATCCACCATCTCAGGCTTTTTTTCTTTTATTCCGCATTCTTTAGCCATAATGGGGCACGCATCCCTGACAGATGAAATTTCATTACGGCTATTGGTGACACTAAATTATAACATTGGGAAAAAAAAAAGCAATGGCTCCTTTTTTGTTTCGTTTCACCATCAGTTAATAAAAGTTCTGTTTGATAGAACTCTAATTTCGATTTGGGAAAGTTCGAAATATGATCTCGAAAGCCCTACGTGTTATTCCCTTATGGCATGTATAACTCGTTGTGTCAAAAATGCTTTCTGCTCGCTTCAATGGTATATTCCATGTGGTCTAAATTTAGCGAAGGAAGGTATTTAAAACCGTTTTGCATTTAAATGTAAGTGAAAGCGGGTGCTCTTTGTTCATTATTTTGACATGCATTGTGTTCTTAATCTGAGATGTATGAGCCATTACAGGGTTTTCACTGCTTTGTGACAAAGGTAGTACCGTATGCCGCATAAGAATATAGAATGAAAACAACTCGTGTGGTGTCAAAGTTATCATAAGGGTGACGGAATTTACATTTTAAACCAATAAAGGGAAAAAAATGCCCCAGACTGGTGATCTCTTATTGTGGAAAGTATTTGACCGGTTGAATTACATGGGGAAGTTAGTGAACTAACAAGAATGCATTAAAAGATCCAGTCTTTTTTCGGCAAGCGTAAAATTGGTATGATAAATGGGTCTGATGTCAATTGTGTGATGACCTGTCTCAAAACAGTGTCATTGAACACAAGAACCAACTTCGAGTTCGAACTCCTCACTAAGATTTCATCTAAGCTAATTCCAGTCAAATAATTTTATCAGTTCTCATTTCGCCTCAAGCATTAGTGTCCGATTTTTCGAACATTTCAACTTTACACGGGTTTACTTTTCATGAAACCAGAGTAATCAGTGTTTATTTTGTAGCTTCCACCGGTCAGATTTTGTAGTGGGCGGGAATTACAACATGTTTCGTCTATTTCGCACTTTTATGTGGGGTGCCCACTGTAAATGGAACTTGCCAAAGGTGTTGAAAACCAATCGAATTAGTCAGCTAACTCTTCTGACGACAATTATTTGAGATTTTCATCGTGCGTTTTTTGCATGTGTTAGAATGCAGATTGAAGGATATTGACCCGCAGGATCCGTTCTTCTGAAAGTAATTTACATTTGTCTGGTTCAAAATCCCCTGCAGTTTTGACTGTGCCTTGACATTTTGGCGAGGAAGTATGAATTTTTGTTAGTTAATCGAGCCCTAAGGAGATAAGAAGTTTACTCTTTTGTCAAAAGTTGTTGATTTTCAACCTTTTAAGTGCGATACAAATACATATTAACAAACGGGGCCGATATCAATCTACATTAAGGCGGGCGATGTTGGATCACTACGTGACAGAAATGCCTGCTTAATCCTTGGATTCCTTTACCAGAGATTTTGCTTAAGTTTTTTGTCAAAGATTGCTCTCATTGTTTTTTTTGTGTGTGTTCTTTATGTGTCCACTGCTGGTGACCAGTGTTATATCCTTCCGACACCTGCGCCGCCCACCTCTTGACCAACAAAAGAAACACGATTTGTGGAAAGGTGTCTGCGAAGGATTGGAGCAGTCAGAGGCGATCAGCCTCCGATTAAATGCTTTCGACTCTAATCTAGCTGAAACAACCGCGTTTATTCTTCTTTCGATGACTTCTAAGTGTATCGCTTTGTTCAGGAAATTGTATTTTTATGAAAGGTCTCTCTTATGATGGAAGAAGGTTCATATTTTGCTATTTCTTTTAAGGTAGCACTCATAGCTGGTTGTTAATTGCAAATGATGAACCGAGCGCCTGTGACGTTCAGGAACGGCGATTCAGCCTGACAGGTCGCTCTATAAACACGCGTTTGTCAAATGTTAAGAGTTGTAAAAACTCCGGTCAACGGCGACGTTAACGCCAACAAAGAAACTGGTGCCACCTTCATTATGCAACATTAAAGCGTGCCTTTCTAAATGCTCGCCGTTCCCTCGTGTTTTGATTGGAAATCGTTGCCACCAGTTAAGCGAATCTAGAGTTTCAGCCGTCTTTAAGAAGTAAGATTTTAACCAGCAAAGTAATTTTTTTGCACTTCACATTGCAGCATTGTTTGATCTGTTTCCCTGCAGGACTTTGCAACTGCACGGAAATTGCGCCTGTGTGTCGGAACGTGCACTGTCATTTAAGGTTCATTTAAATGGCTTTGTGACCAGGTGGGTTGGCCATCTGAGTTTTATTTGAATTTGTATTGTTTACCTGTGGGTCTTTTAAATACACGTGCGTCCGTTAAACCTTCATTCATTTGTAACACACCGTGCATCGGGTTGAGAACACTCGAATGCATCCTCTTATCTCAAGCCGTACGATGATGAATCGTTCTCAACTCAATCTTTCACCTTGTTCTTCACCACTTGCCTCGTTTAAAGACAAGTTTGAATTCCCAGCCCCTTCAGACCTTTGGCCCTCATTTTCGTTCCCAACGCCACCGACTTCGCCGGTCGAATTCTGCAGCAACTGTCAAGAGGTTACGAAAGAGATGCGCTGGCACGCCGCCTCGGGTCCGTGGGGAGAACTGAGGGAAATCTCGGACGAAGAAATCGAAGTGGACGATGTCCCATTCGAAATTGCGCGGCAATTTTGCGGAATGCGCGCCGAATCTCCCGCCATTCTCAATGACATAATGTGGAGCGGAGATCGAGTCAGGAGGCCAGATTCTACCACCGATTTCGAAGCTCGATTCAGTTTGTCGTCAACTCCGACATGCTTTGATCAACCGATTAGCCATACATTTGTCGAGCCGGAAGAGCTGTTCTCATTCTCGTTGCTAAGCCACTGCAGTGATCAAGACGTTGGTATGTTGGACAGACTCGCAAACGGTGATGCTGCCTTCAATATTCCATCAGAGGACCTTCCATCCGAAACAGGTATTTATTTTGCACAAAATATTTACTCATCGTCCTTTTGTCTCTTAAAAGAAAAAGAACAGAGAATAAAAATCTTGAGCCAAAGTAAATCTGGAAAGACACCGTGTTGCTCGAAAACGTGAAATGTCTCTTCGCCAATTTGTTGTTGTTATTTTTGCCTGTTTGCTTTGTTCTATTATATTGGCTTTACAGTGTTCTATGTCACGTGCCCAGCAGAGTTTTGATTTCATTTATTTTGATTTCCCTTTCTAAAATATACATGCGTGGTAACTACTAACCCGTGTTTGTTTAGGACAACAAAGTAAACATTAAGACAATTGCCTGGATTTTACAAAAATAATCAGCTTCTCTCTGATCCAAAGCAGAAGGTTAAGCCATTGACCCGCGAGCTCAAGAAAGTTGTTTGTTTTTACTTTCCTCTGAAAAAATTTATTCGACCTCTGTCTTTCGACAGCAGTGTTTCTGACTGAGCTGTGTTCTTAAATATCTGAAATATTGTTTTGGTTAAAGAACATCATTTAGTTGTCGAATATTGTTTTTTACAGTCAATTTGCACGCCGCTTTACTCGAAATATGTTTTCCTGTTTCCACACAAGGTGTTTCCTTATCATGATAAAGAATTCATGAATTTGTCTCAATTTTTTTTTAATTGTGATCCTAAACGACGTGAAAATTTCACTATTTTTTATTTAAGACACAACTCTCAGTCTTTCTTGATAGTTGTTTTGTAATGAAAAATGCAGTAGTAAAATTGGAAAGTGTTAAATAGAAGTGTTATCTCTATAGGATAGGCTTGTTCTCTACTTCATGTACTCGAATTTAAACATGTACGTCACTGTTGAATATAGTCCAATATTAACTTGCAGCTGCTGCAATCAATTTGAGATCAGATAATCTTCTTTAAGAAAGGGAAAGATACACGAACTAAACCAAATGTGAAAAAAATATTTTCGTCTTTTCACTGGTGGGATACCAAAGGTTCTCAAACAAAAGATTGAACATGTTGAAAAATACATAAATCTAACTACGAGACTTCTGTTAAACGGTTTTGCCCAAAATCGTATTCCCGTTTTTCTCTTTGATATCTCTTTAATTTTTGTTCAACTGCCTTTCTCCTTTTGTGATACAGAGGAAGATGAAATCGACGTTGTAAGTGTCACAGTAGACAAAACAAAGGAAGAAGTCGTCACCACCCGTCTAAGTCCAGACACCACCCAGCAGGAAGACAGATCGATGAACACCCCGCCAAAACAGCGCTGGACTAAAGGAAAAAACGAAGAATCATCCGAGCCGGGAAACGAAGATGGAAATGGACGTATTTCTCACAATGATTTGGAAAGGAAGCGACGCAACGATCTACGGAATCGTTTCCAGTGTCTTCGAAGAAGCATCCCATCATTAGAAGAGAGCGAACGCGCAGCTAAGATAACAATTTTGAGGAGAGCATCGGAATTTATACCTTTACTTCAAAAGGAGGAGGAGAAATTACTGGCGCTTAAAGCGGAAGAAAAGAAACGAAATGCTGCCCTTTTGAACACTCTCATGAAACTTACAAAAAACAAGAGAAGATGAACGCAATTTGCGCCCTGAGGCATTTAGGTGTGGTTTTCGGATTTCCTCTTTCGCGTTCACACTTCACTAACACATATATCTTCATACTTGAATACTTTTCTAAACCATAATTATTTTGATATGGATTTTTTCTTGTGTACGCACAAACACTTTTTCATTGTTAGTCGTTTTTTACCTCGTGCAGAAATTTTTGTCAGCAGTGTTCACGGGCTCGTGTTGTTTTGTGGTTAATTCACGTTATCAATCAAAAAACGCAAGGAAAGTACTTAAATGTAACTAAAAGTTCTCTTTTCATTGACCTAATATTTATAAGAAACTTGATAAAAAAGACAGAAGAACTGAATAAAGGAAATAAACAAAGCAAACAAAAAAACAATAAAAAATAGCACATAATGGTACGAACAACAGCAAATAGGCTGCTGAAATGTGTAAAGCAGCTCGAGCGCTCCTCAAGATTCTCCCAAAATATTTCTCTGTGAAATATGCATAATCACAATGAACAACCTGTGATGCTGTAGATTCTCAGTGGTACCTCAGTTAGTTGATGGTAACCTAGCTTGTCTTACTTTTGATATGATCTTTCCTGAACGCGTGTTTACTTCATCTATCCTCGTTGTCAGTTCAGTTGTCTTAATGGTGAACAGATTTTAGAAGTATTTTTCTCGCTATCTCTCGCACTTTGGACGTCGAAGGAAACATAATTCAACGTAACTGTAGTGGTCGGCATATCATAGCCCACGCCATGATAAACCCTCTCTTTTCTCTCTTCTTCTTTACATAATTTACCCCACATTCCACCCTTCTTACTTACGAACAAAGTGTCATTGAGCACAGGCACACCAATTTGCCATGGGTAAAGTAAATTCAAAGAAATATGTGGGAAAATTCAAAATTCTTTACAGTTCAAAGTAAAAGTTTGGGAATTTTTTAATTTTAAGCAAATTACGCATGTTTATCAAATTTAGGGAAAGATCAGAAATGTTTGCAAAGAAGAGGGTTGAGATAAAAATTTTCAGCTCGGGGTTCGTTGGAACTATCGTCAAATTTATGATTTAGTTGTCTATAATTGTTTTTCCATTTGCTCGACATTGATTGATGCTGGTTATATGATAGAGCCTTGTTCACTCCAGCTGTTCTGGTTTGAAATTTTACGACGTCTATACATTGGCTCGAACGATCCTATCCAAAGCAATGTTTATGTCTCGTTTTACCTACGCCAGTGTTAATTCACGCTATGCTTTGCTTTTTAGACAGAATTTAGTCATATCCTGTGATGTTTGTGTTTTTTTTTATGTATAAAATTTGTCCAAACAGATCACACAAACGCTACACTTTAAAAAAGACTCCAGACGTACATGCAGTCATAAGCTACTAGTAAAAACCAACTTGTTTACTAAATATGTCATAAATCTGCCGTTTTGCAGGAAAACACGCCTTTAAGCAAAAGAACACAAAAAAGGAAGAAATAATAACTGAAAACACCACGAACTCCCCTCCTGTTCGAGTTAAATGGTGATATCGCACAGCTCTGGGTATGTGGGGAGAGAGGGGGCAGAGGCATTACTCTTTCACTGTTTACAATTCGTTTCGCGGTAACTTGCAGATTAAACATAAACGAAACATGCGAACATTCAATCGGAGAATTCCACAACTGTTCCATTTTTTTTGTTCAGTCGTCAAAACAAATTAGAATAGGTATTGAACTGCATTTATTTGCCTAGTTTGGAATGGGAAATTTCTTAAAAAAGCCATAGATTCAGAGATTCCCAGGTGTTTTTACAAATCAATAAAGGGTCCTGCCAAATTTCTTAATTAAAGTTTAATTTAGATTTGAAAGTAAGTCAGTTCCGCTTTGTACTGAAGAGATATTTGGTTGTAGAGTTGTTGGTTGGTAATAACTGATCATGATTTGCATAACGCGCTTTTAATGCGTGTTAATCGTAGAACGCATAAAGCGAAAAAATACCCCAAGAAATTCATTAATTCAGTTTCCCAAACAGTTATCACTGGCACTTCGTTGAAAACACCTTCATGTACTTCCTCACCCAAGGTTTAACAAAATCTGTCCGACTTTCGTTAATCTCAAGTCTTAAATCCTTAGTAGGAGCGAAGAGAAAGAAAGTCTTTCACTATTTCACAAGAAATATTTATGTATTTAGGCAGTTCGCACAACAGTAAACAAATCTTTTCAGGTTTCTCTCCTGAGTCATGTGGCGTTTACCTAGTCATCGACCCTGTGACGTCATGTGCACGTGCCTCACACACCAGTGTGGTGCTTTCCGCGTAAACCAGAGTTGTTTTTCATTTTAGTTGTCACGTTATATCAATTATGTATAAGTCTTTCTACCTTTAAGTGCTGGTACCCGTTATGCAAGTTTTAAGCAGATTAAAATTTTTGTACTAATTGCCCGTCTATGCTTCACGAAGAAATTGTTTTTAGTGCTTTATTTAAATATTAACATGTCGTGATATTCCGTTTAGCGCAGTTAGTACGGGTTAGTTTTCCCTTTTTTGAGTTTAAAAAATTGCTGTCGTTACTGATCATTTCTTGTTGTTTGTTGCTTTCATAATATCCCATTGAAATGAACTGTTTAAGAAATCCTTTCATCAGGTATCATCCCACGTTTGTTGTTGTTTCAAGAGCCAAACAAGGCAAAACAAAATTAAACTTAATTTGTGATTTCCAACAACACCGGTTATGAACAAGTAAATAGGGTAAGGATATTAATTAAAATCGATGTACAAAATGAATTTTATCGTAAGTTCTAGTTCTACTAAGCCGTAATGAAATTACGAAAAGACGTGTGTATAAACCATGCGACCGTAAAAGCTGACGAACAAAATGTGTAGGAGGTGGCAATTTTTTCTGCTGGTAGAAAAAGAAATGGCTGCTAAAAGTACACTTCCTTTTTTATCGGCTCGTCCTCTTTGACTCAAGTGTTATGACGCTGTAACTAGCTTTTAAACGTCAGCTTACAACCTTTGTAATTTTGTTGTGAACTCTATTAATTTCTATGTTCTTTTCAAAATTTATTTTTATTTAGAATCAGTGTCGACTTTAGAGACCTCTTGTTTCTTTTCACTCATGTCGTTGACCTTCCAAAAAATTGTTTTTATAAACCATTGCAAGATTAAATGTCACTTTGCAACCGGCCAAAACATATCTTTTATTTTACTTCCAAGGATAACAATTTTCTCTGAGATGAAGAATACCTGTCAACTTACTGTCTTGTGTTATAAAGGTGTAAATGGTAAGGGGTGTGTTTCCTTTGTTTGTTTTTTTTTTCTTCTTTTTTTTGTAAAAGAATTTGAAAATCCAGTAATTCATAATTCTATGCATTCTCATGTGTTTTAACATTCGTGCTACGCAAACATTTTACATCTGCCCGAAGTAAGGCTTAAAATGGCTATGTGTAGACACGGTTGTTCGTATGATGTTAACTCGCTTCAATATCAAAATCAGTTTTTTGGTGTGTTGGTTTGTATAGCAGTTTTTAATTAATGTTGACAGTAATCTTGAAATGCGTTAGTTTTCCTTCGTTATGCTCAGTGATTGATGAGAAAATATTGCCTCGAATGCGCAACCAGTCAAATGCAAACTTCGCACAAATAGCGTTTTCCTGCCCTCGAAGCCGATCACCAGCCATTACTTTGATTTCTTGGCTTCTTTTGGAGTTATTTTCGTCCTCTTTTTGGCCGTTGTAATTTCTTTAAGCATGGTTTTCGGCGCTCGATTGAAAAGGTTTCTGAGGTTTTAACTAGTGATGTATTCATTTTGGCTCTCGAACTTTAAGAATGTATTCTTTGTTGTTCAATATCTCTCTTAAATTTTGAAGACCAAAGACCCTTACGACTGCATTGATTGGTGAAAGGAAGCCAATATTTTATTCCGATAGAGTATTTGGGTTTTCCTATTAGGTAGCGCACATTACGAGTTAAGCCTGAGACTGTTTTTTTACTCCTCAATTACCTCTACATACGGCTGAATCCAGAGGCGTGATAGGACTTAAAATTCAGGCTCGCACTCGGAGCTGCACGCACATTTCCATGTGATAGTTGTTAATACAAGTGGATGGTATAAAATGAGACAAAAAGGAACGTAACACACTGCTCTCTTAAGAAGTGGTTGTTATTGAGTTTGAGAAATGAATATTAACAGGATAAGCAGGAATGGTGCGGTTGTGAACTGGAGAAAATGAATCAAAATTGAGTTAAGTTTACCATACGCGTTATATTCCAGGGCTTTGCCTTGGTTTCTCTGTGTTTTCTTCTGTTTCATATGCAAAATAATGCATGGAGACTCTCCCAATTGAACCTGGTATTTTAAAGGTATCCAGTGGTTTATAATCCACGGTTGTCTCTTAACCTTTCGTCTTGTGCCAGTGTCTGAGAATTTATCGCCATCAGTAAAAGCACTCAATGCTTTGCTTTGTGTCCGGTCTTATTTTTGTTTTTTGCTCTTGTTCTTACGTGACGAAACCCACGAGGGATTTGACACTTCTTAGTGGTTTACTTGGCTTTATGACAAATACACTGGAGGTGAGAAAATCGTCAATCGAATATACCTTTAGATGAGGTTACGTTTGTCAAAGGCAAGACTGCTATCATCTCATTGAGGTTTATAAATTTCTTATGGTTTGTACGTAAAGCGCGTCACAGTTCTTATTTAGTTTGAACCGCTACAAATCTACTGTAAGAATTTCTGTCGTAGAGTTGTGAAGTAATCGATAAGTATTTCGCTTTTTTTTTTTTTTCGGGTTTCTACTTTCCCTCGTAGTAGTAATATTTTTGTCTTAAACATGAAGTGTCAAAAATTCTAACCATCTCCATCGTAAAATATTCTAAGGAACATGTGAAGCAAGAGTAATATGAGTAATCTTCACCATTGTGTCAAAAATTTGTTTTAGGAAAAAAATATCTTGTGGGACTTTGACCGAAATCGACTACTTCGTGTCCCAAGTTATAATGCAGTCAAATGTTGTGTTCCTTAAAAAGGTAGCCCTCACAAGAAATAAATGGTTTTTGATCAAAACCGGATAGAAGAGGGCAATACCATCCCGTGAGTTTTGCACAAACAGACAAAAATGCTATGTTAAAAAAAAGAAAACATTAACTATCAGCAAGCACATCACGAACAAAGAGGTTCTTTTTTTATTTTAAACTGGTCATAGAAGAAGTGAGAAATGATAATAATTAATGAATTAAATTTCTTGAATCGCTATTTGAAGAAAGAATTGGCGGCTTGTTGTTCACCATGTCATGAAAATCAAATTTTCAACAAGATCATCCGATTTTGGAAAAATCGTGAGAACAACTATATTACAGTTGCGAAACATGAAACAATAACCTGGTACTAGCTTTTGTTTTCTCACAGCCTCCTATTTTCAATGAAGCCACCCGATCAATGGTTTTTGGAAACTGGTATATTTACAGCTTTGATGAAAAAAGAAATTCAATCAACAACCTATCATTGAATGATAGATTGTTGCTTGAATTTTTTTCTAACATGGGACTGGATACCGTGAAGTGAAGATTAAAACTTAACGATTTTTCAGTCTCAAGACGTGCTAAAAGTATAAAAAGATCGAGTAAGTGTCTTTTTTTACTTTCTTCGAAG